TAGAACTGTCCAAGATTAAAGCGTGCGGTATAATTCCCGACACGCTAGACTTGAGACGGGTCAAAAACATTTTTAAAAAACGAGTTTTCTTTAACCTTCACCACGACATACCATGCGGTATGTATACGATCTGCTAGGAATGTATCTACATGTTCAAACAAATATAATACAATAATAGGTACATAAACGAGTAATTAATATACGGTCAAACATATTTTTTCGATGATCCACCACCCGCGGAGCAAATCACATTTTAAGCAAAGGAGCACCGCGCACGTACCTACTTAACTAATATTTAAAACTAGTCAGTCCAGACTCCAAAGCGTTTATTTTTTATAAAGTTAGACATGAAAGTACGAAACAAAACAAAAAAAGATTAAGCCGGTTTTTACTTTACGGTTATCTATATTAATATAGTCCTTACGACCTTACCCCTTATACCTATAGTCTATACTGCAACAGCATAGGCGCACATAGGGGGGTGCTTGGGGGTGCTTAGCACTCCCAAGCTTCAAACTAGCACCCTCAATTTATTTCAGTATTTCACCAATCATTTATAAATTATTGTGGTTTATTGGTTCGAAATTTTTCTTTCCATTACAAATATTGACAACTGTTTACGAATTCACGATTAAAACAGTATCGTGTGAATGCACGTTTCAATGTTTCAGTTTTTGTCAAAACATTAAACAATAAGCAGCAATCATATTATATCATATTATTATAGAAAATTATATTATCTTACGGTTCACGGTTGGGTACAAAATGTTCTATTTATAACTTTGGTTATTACTTGGTTTTTAATAATATATTTATTTATTCTGCGGGGCGCGGGCTGCGCTGAATTGAATAAATTCGGAATGACAAATATTATTAAGAAGATGCCACACCTTCACGTGTGGTCTCCGTTTTACAAATGTAAAACATAGTAAAACGGCTTGGGCGGATAAGAACTACTCAGTTTATAGTTCAAGTAGTTATGCAACCTAATGTTCCTACTAGAAAGAGGAGAACATTGACTGTGCAACATTGTTTTTAACATTTCGATATCACAAATACGAAAAAAGTTCTTATAGTTTAAAAATGAAAAATTACCTAATTATTAATTAATCGAAAATATAAAAACAATGTTACACAGAAAATGTTCTCATTTTTATAGTGTGGAAATTTAGTTTCTTAGCTTAGAGTACAGCCTGAGTGGTTTTTATACAGTTAATTATTCCTATGTTGTACACTTGTACCTACGTTTGTAATACGGATGCATCACATTTGGGTGTACCTAGCGTCTTCTTTACAATCATACAAACTATTTGATTCAAATACAAATTAAATCTAATGCAATGCAGTCTATTATAATATTAGGATTTAGGGGGGTGTGGGGGGCTAAGCCCCCCACGGATCTATGAACCATACATTATTCCAGCACCCCCAAAATTCACACTCAATGTGTGCCTATGTGCAACAGTGCAACTGCACTGTTCTAAAACTAATAGGTATCTAAATTCAAAACTTTTTTAGTCCTGCTCACTAATCAAGTATTTCCTAATGTAGGAGTAGATAATAGATATATCATATCATATAATATAGATGAATATCGATTTCTGTAAAGTTATCAACACAGATTGATTCATATCACAGATATAGTTAGTTTATACATAGGTTCTGACGTTCTGTGATTCATATAGATCGATGTAGGATTTTAATTTGATATCGTTTCCGTACCTATGTATAGAAACGCATTACACGGACTTTCCGATCGTGATTTATTAAATCCCAAACTGTTACCTAATATATAATATGTATAATATATAATTATTATTTATTTATTACATGGTGTATACAATTTTTACTTCAAAACAGTAACCTACGTCCAACACTACGCCTTCAGGCTACAATTCTAATAAACTTTATAAATATTAAAGGACATTTGAAAGTCACAATAGTTTCAATAAAAAAAAAAAATTATAAAATAATTCGGGCGTCACGTTTCAAGTAAGTAATGTATACCTAACCTATTACCTACATGGCTACATCCATTTTGGTTTGAGGAAGTAATCTGATTATATCAGTAAAAAAAAATACCTACTGCGATGCGTTTAAATCTCCAAGTTCAATAAAATATATTCTGTTGTGATACGTATTTCAGTAGGTAGGTACCTACCTATAATGTATATTTATATATAGGTACACTAAATAAATAATATCAGACGTAGTTCTAGGATTAAATTATAGGCATAAATTTGGTTACAAAACTGGGGCTTAGATAATATTTAGGGGGAGACTTCAGGAGTTTTCAGGGTGTCTACGCTTGTTGACTCAATATTCATACGATAACAGTACATTTATAATTAGGCCTCAACTGCGAATAAAACACCCCTTATTATTTTTTTTCAGTAATGGATATATTATTTAACTTTTCGTAAGAACACTAGAAATGTTAGTAGGCAGCTGCCCACCCAACCCTTACACTAAAGTCTAAAACAGTCACTGAATTATATTCTTCTTAAATTATGTAGCTACAGATGAATTTATTACCCATAGTGAGGTTTTGTTCAGTCTATTTTTGGGAGATGCTGTATTCAGGAGACAATTTTTTGTTTTTAATCACAAGGTTAACTATCACGATGTCAGCTGCGTGGGCATAGTACATGCACGATTTTGTCTGTAAATATTAGATTAGAGCAGTTATTGGCAACAAACCTTGACATATTTATTGGTTACATTGATGGATAATGTGTACAGTAGGTAGCAACTTTAAATATTTACCATAATGCATTTCGATTTATAAATTATATTGTGAATTTCCAGACTATTATAGGTACGTCATGGACGTCCTCAAGCAGAGAGGTGAAGGAGGGAGGAGTGAGTTACAATATACTATTTAAACTTTAAAGTCAAGTTAATTTATGTATGAACATTTTTTCTAGATCAACATTTCAAAAATTTGACAACTAAGTATATCAAATGCTTTAGTAGTGGTACTATATTATATTAAACATAATATTATGAGTTATGACTGGGTATCAGTCCCCTTTCTAAGTCAATTTATGATTGAATATAAAAACAATTTAACAATTTACCCCTCATGGGGTTTATTTATTAAGACAGATAATAACTATTATAACTTATAGTAGAATTTATTAGTATGACTGAAAACGACCAATATTTTATCAGAATTATTAAGGGACAAGTTACAATGTTATTATACAATTTTAAAATATTTATTATATTCAAAAATATTTTGTATGATATGGTGAGTAACTTTTATTATTTCTAAATTAGCAAAAATTAGCAAGTATGTATAACATAATGCATTCATATATTATGATCTATTATGAAAATATATTATTCAATTATTTAATTTGGTTTATTAAAAAATTTACAAGACCCATTCTGCCAAAATGTCGCAGTCATAGAAAGCCGCCCTGATATTGATAATATTTAATACGCTGTCGTGGACGGTAACACAAAAATGATTCGTTTGATCAGGTTCAATTTTTTCTTCAGTTATTATTCTCAGTTTGTATTACAATATTGCTATGGAGTTATAGCCCATATCAGGATTCACGGGCTGTGTCTATAAGTCAGCACACATGTTAAAATCATT